TGATCCTACTCTTTTCCATGAATGGATCATCAATCCGGAGTACGCCAACATCAAACAGAGTAGTGGAGGTCCAATCAAATTTTGGAATTTGCCGATTTAGTTTGAGGTACTAGTTAATTGGAAGTGACTTATCCAAAAAGCTAGCCAACCTGAATAGAAGTTGGTGCTACGGAGTTTGCCATATTAGGGAGTTGTAAGCTTTTACCGGAGTTAGACCAAAAGCCTTTTCTCATACAATCTTTCCTGCTTCGATCTGTTTTCAGCCCGTGATCGTCAAAAAGACCAGAGGCCCCATCTTTATACAGCCTAACTAAATTTGGATAAGATTCAGATATTTGAATACGACACCTGTAAGAAAATCGGTATACCCACAAATGAAGAATAGTTTTTGTACATTTGTTCCCTATGGATATTGAACTAGAGACATGCATTTGAAAACCTGGAAGCATTATCCATTGTGCTATAGATCTACAGGTCATCATATCTAATATTTTTTTTACCTTTAAAAATAATTACACATATATAAAAATTTATCAAATTTTTAAACTTAAAATATATTAAATTATGGTTAAGTTATCTATTAAATATTTGTATTTTATTTATTTATTCATTACATATACTATAATGTTATAGTTAAACTATTGACAAATATTTAACAAATGTTTATATTTAATTTCATGCCAAGTGGCACCAAATGGCATAAATTCAACTTAAATTTATTTATAAAAATTTAAAAATTCAATAATAATTTGATATATCAAATAATTAAATTTTGACTAGTGTAAGATAAATATATTTTTTTAAAAAATAAATTATCAGATTAGATAGTTTAAATTGATAATAAGATTTCCATTTTCTGAATTAGTTTTACCTAATATATAAATCTACATACAAAGTATAAGTTCTTATATTTAGATTAAAAACAATAAACTTATATATAATATGTAATGAATTGTTGATATATTGATTATAAACTATATTTAATAAAATTATATATCTAATATTTATTTGTTAATAAAAAAAATTAACAATTTTTTTGAATAATTTTTTTTTTTAGCAAACAAAGAATTTTTTAATAGAATTTTTTTATTGGTTTTTAATTATATTTGATATAAAATATATTTGAAGTTTATATTTTATATAAGGTAATAAATTTGCTATATATGTATAAGACTATAACCTGTTGTAAATTTATATTTAATTGCTTAAGCTATAGATTCAATATTTTTTACTATTTTTTATAATTAATGATATAAATGCTATGTTTTGAAAGCCAGATACCCTAAAATTATAATTGGTTCTTTTTTGAATATGGAATAATAATATTTGTAATTTTTTTTTTTAAATAAATATCAATTCTTTATTATAGTATACAGTATATTAAAACAAACATTCATAAAAGAATCTACATCTTTCAACTTATAATTGTAATTTCTTTAAATAATATAAAATATACTAATGAATAATTACAAACTCGGAATTAATTTATTATTTAAAATTAGAATGTCATCAAAAATGCTTTTTTAGTATATACAGAGAAAAGATTCACTTGCATTTCTGTTTTTATATTTTACTCAATAAATTGGAGAAATAAAATAAAAAAATTTTTTTTAAACTCATACAATAAATTTACGTATTTATAGAGATAAATACGTGAATTGAAAATATAAGGGTTTTAATGTTCATCATTCTTTATGTATTTTCTTTTCCCTAGGATCTCTGTAACGATAATCTATTCTATAAGTCGAAAGAAGATCTGGAGGCGGTGGAGGTTCGGTGGTTTTGACAAGCACTAAAGCGGCAGCAGCCTAAATGATAAAAAAAGATTTTTTTTTCATAATTAGCTCCGTGCAATATAATGACAGAAAGTAATATAAAAACAATTATTACCTGAGCAACACCATAAAATAGCATTCCGATCAAAGGTAATTTTACTAGTTGATAGAAGGCAATAGAAAAACCAAACAATATTCCTTCTCTTTCTTCGAACCATCTCCGTCTTACTTTGGTCTCAAAGTGGATCCTACCAAAGTAGGGCTCTAATAATTCACGCATCAAGGCTCTTGAAGAAAATAAATTTTCAAGAATAAATATGGCGAGTGGTTTTGTGCCAGGGGTAATGTACATCAATACGCCCACGGTAATGGCAGGTTTGTATCCTAAAGAGCGCACCAATGTGTACGCACTGGCTATCGGATAAACAAATGATCCTATAAAGGGTAAAAGTGACAGGAAATACAATAACATAGCCATTTTGATTTGATGATTCCACATACGCTTGAGATATTGGAACATTTCCATCCAATCATAACTATACTCGTAACGTTCTAAAGCTGGAGCGTATGGGGGACGCAAATCATTTTCACCTTCATGTTTCCGAAGGTAAACATAATCAACATGACGGAGTGATTCAATAAACACAGAGTCCAAAATTTGCGGATAAATATACCGCATGAACAAAAGACCAAAGAAAGGAAAATTGAGAACATAATTTGTAACCCACAAATTATAGTTTTCTGAGAGTAAATTGTGATCGTAATGAAACACGAAAGAAAAAATATAAACAATAAACTGTAAAATTTTCAAGGGAATTATGAGAAGGGTAGAGGTAATAACATATAATACAATACTAACTGCTACAAGGTACAAGAATACTTTTACATAATTATGTTTATGCAAATGACGGTTTTCAAAGGCGAGAACCGAACCCAACCAAGCAAGTTGAGCACCACGTATAACTTGTTCCAAAGACCAAGCCATTTATTATGATTTATGGATATCTAATTTTTGGTTATTAAAATACGTTAATTGATTGGCAGTCCGTCACATGAAAAATCAAGTAAAAAAACAATCAATTATTTTTGTTCTTATAGGTAAATATTATTTTTTATTTGATTTGTATATAATAAGATATACATTAAGGAAGAAACAATATCTTTTATATGCATTAGCAATAAATCAAATGCTAGGTTGCCTATATTTACTCAAAAAACAAAAAAAAAACAAAAGTAAAAGTAACTAAAATAAAAAGTAAATTAAAATTTATATAAAAAAAAAAAATTATATTTTCAAGAAAACTTTTGATCTATAATAAAACTCAAATCAAAATATAAATCAAAATATATAATATATTTATAATTATAAAATCAAATTATAAATATCAAGTAATATATTTTGATATTATTTTAATACAATAATATATCAATATAATAAATGAAACATGTATCAAAAAATATTAAAATATTAATATATTAAAAAATAAAATATATATCAAAATATATTTATATAATAATTCAATAATAAAAAATATATAATTAAATGTATAATATATACATTTAATGCTTATTTGCAAAAAAAAAAAAAAATTATTATTAAATATATAATATATTAATAATTAAAAACAATATATAGTATAATATCTTAATAAATAATATAATATATTATATAATATGCAATCGAAACATAACAAATAATTTTTTTTCCACAAAAACTACAAATTTCCAAAAATTTCCTTTTTTGGAAATTTACAAAACACTTCAAGAAACACCAAGGAAACATCCAAGGGAAACCTTCACAAAGAAGAAACACCACACTGTTACCCTTGAAAACCCAAGGAGGACACATACAACAGGTATTATAGAACCTAAAGGATTACTAACCCTTTGCTTTTATTTCAACACAAATAGATACACACTTG